TGTCAAGCATCTCAATAGATGAATTTAGACAATGTTTTGAAAAATGGAATAAAAGACTAGACAAGTGTATTAGTGTAATTGGAGAGTACTTTGAAGGGGATTGAAGGTTTGTGCTTAAAATTTGAATAAATAAGTTAAAAGAAAATAAGTTCGGTTTTTTTTGGGTACCCCCTCATGTATGTATATATATATAATATATAATATATACAAGTATATTAACCAACATTGCACACGGATGGCAAAAAGTGGAAAGCAAAGTCAGATTATGAAAGAGTTTATTTCTGAGGTGGGAAACTGTGAGGTGTACACACAGCCACAATGACATGCAATATATTGTAGGATCAAATGTGTCATATGATATGATGCTGATGATGACTGGCAGAGAAGAGCAATAGCTTATCCATGATCTGAACATAATTAGGGATGGTATTCCTTACATTCACAAATTTTATTTTTTTCAGAGGGAAAGGCATGCAGAAAAATACAAACTGGACCGGTCCAGTTTTGAAAGCAAGACCTTCAGCACAGAAGTTCGGCATCCTACTCCCAGAAAACCAGGTTCCATGTCTAGTTGCTAAAATCTGAAATATCATTTATGTACCTGCTACTGAAAAGTAATTTCTGTGAAGATTGTGGTCTCCTAAATGGACCATCTATGTGATTCAGAACACAGCCAATCCTCTGTTCATCCACAGAAATGCCTAAATAATCCAGCAGTCTGCTAAGGTCATGATGTGGATTAAGACGAAGTGTCTCAAAGTGTAGAACCATTGCTTCGTGTCCTCTGGTATAGTTGATCCATGTAGCAGCTAACTCCTTCCACACCACAGCCAACTGAGAAGCAAACCTTTCCCATTCTGCAGCAACAAAACAATACGAAGTATACATCTGTTCCATTCTGTATACCACATATCACAAAGAGGTACCCACTTCTGATGTCATCAGATGTCCTCGTTTTTAACATAATAAGTGATGTTCATCATTCAAGACACTTTGACATCAGTTTGTATTTTGATCTGTTATTAATAAATTAGTTGTGTTTGTCCTTAATTTTCTGCCTGCCTTCAGACTTGCAATGTTATTTATAATCCACAGCCATATCAAGAAAAAGAAAGACTGAAGCAGAAAACCAAGGACTGATGCAAAAGAAACACCTGAAAATGGTAAAGCAAAGTATTCACTCTTCTTAATTAAGCACCATGCTATTAAAGCATATGTGAATTTGAATTGAATTTAATTGAATTTATTTACATTCTATAAATCCTAAGCAGGTTAGTACCTTTGGATACAGAACAAGTCAAAAGGTTACATACATAAGTACAGGCAATTTTAGCTTAAAAATTAATATAACTTAATTTTACATCATTCTCTATTTACATTGAAGTATTCATCTAAAGAGTAGAAGGAATGAGCATGTAGATAATTCTTTAACTCTGATTTAAACTTTTTAGTATCATTGCCCAAGTTTTTAATACTTTGTGGCAGACTGTTGAACACTTTTATGCCAGTAAAGTAGACTCCTTTTGATACTACTGATAAAGTTGATGAGGGTAGGTGGAAGTTATATTTTTGTCTAGTATTCATGTTATAGACATCAGAATTTAATTTGAATTTATCTTTGTTGTAAACAACAAATAAGAGAAGCGATAATATGTATTGCGATTGAAGAGGTAGAATTTTTAATTTCTTAAATAATTCTCTACATGAATCTCTACTTCTACATCCTGTAATGATTCTAATTATATTCTTTTGTATTTTAAAAATTATTACACTATGTGAAGAGTTCCCCCAAAATATTAATCCATAGTTCATAATAGAATGAAAGTAGGCATGGTAAACCATCTTCAATGTTTCCTGTGACATAAAAGGCTTAATTGATCTCATCGCATAGCAAGCTGCATTTAATTTAGGTATAATTTGTTCAATATGTATTTTCCAAGACAGTGTACTGTCTACATGTATTCCAAGGAATTTTGTATCAAGTACTTTACAGATTAATTTGTTGGCATAACTGATGTCCAGATCAATTTGGTGGTTGTTTTTAGTTGTGAATGATATGTAATGGGTTTTATCAAAATTTAATGAGAGTAAATTGGCTTCGAACCATCTGTTTAAGGCTTCAAATACAATATTTATGTCATTTTTAAAGTTTTCAAATTTAGAGTTCTTAAATATTATACTAGTGTCATCTGCATATAGAATTGGTTTAGATTTATTGTTGATGGTTTTAGATAGATCATTTATGTAGAGAAGAAAAAGTAAGGGACCTAAAATTGATCCTTGTGGAACACCGTGCTTTATAATTCCCCAGTTTGAAAATGCATTATGACTGGAGTTTTTATTATTTATTTCAACTCTTTGATACCTGTTTTTGAGGTATGATTTGATCCATTCATTAGCTTTGCCAGTTATTCCATAGAAATTTAATTTCGATAGTAAGATATCATGATTAACACAATCGAAAGCTTTTGCTAGATCACAGAAAATCCCTCCCACAATTAATCTGTCATTGAGAGCACTTAAAATATCGTTAGTTAGTTCATAGGTTGCTTTTTCTGTTGTTAGGTCTTTCCTAAATCCAAATTGCTCTTTGACTAATATGTTGTTAGAATTTAAGTGTTCAAGTAGTCTATTATACATAACTTTTTCAAAGACTTTTGAGAATGAAGTCAATATGGATATTGGTCTGTAATTAGAGATGCATTTTCTCTCTCCTTTTTTAAAAAGTGGTTTCATTACAGCGTATTTTAAGCGTTGAGGAAAAGTACCTGATGATAAAGATTTATTACATAGATGATTCAAGGGTGAACTGATGTAAACAGAGCTTGCTTTAAGTAATTTGGTAGAGATTTCATCATATCCATGTGAATTTTTGGGCTTAAGGGATTTAATAATGTTTTCAATTTCCTTCCTTGTTGAGAATTTGAGATTGATATTTGGAAATGAATTGTTAAAGGCACGAGACAGATAGTATATTGGATTATTATTATTATTATTATTATTATTATTATTATTATTGGAATATGTTTTCTCAGCTAATGAAAGGAAATATTCATTAAATGCACTTGCGATAGCTTGTGGATTGTTAGTGGACTTCCCTTCAATATTCAAACTTTGTACGTCTTCATTAACAGATTTCTTTCCTGATTCAACTTTCACAATATCCCAGGTGGTTTTAATTTTATTGTTTGATTTTAGAATTTGGCTGTTATAGTTATTCTGTTTGGCTTCTTTAATGACTTTTGACAAAATTTTACAGTACATTTTGTAGTGACTTTTTAGTCTTGGATCATTACTGTCCCTACTGGCCAAATATAGTTGTCTTTTGTGTTTACATGAAGTTTTTATTCCAATTGTTATCCAGGTGGATTTGTTTTTATTTTCATTTTTGACTATTTTTAAGGGAACGCTTGAATAAAAGAAGGTATAACCCTATGCACAGGAGAGGAGGTGCGTTGTCAACTTTGCACTCTGGCCACTTTACCCCTGGGGAAATAACCCATGGTACACACTAGATAGGAGGCTGGGTGCCCCCAAATCCAGTCTGGACATTGTGAAGAGAAAAATATTTTACCCCTGTTGGGAAGCGAAGTCAGACTCCTCAGTCATCCAGCCTATGATCTAGTTGATATACCAATTGAGCAAGCCCAGATATTTTAATAAAATTAAAAAATCTGTATTTAAAGTCATCATCAGCTACACTTTATGTACCTCCTGTTTTAGTTTTCCAATGCTGGCAGTTCATGCACTTCAAACAGCTGTCATTGTTGTTGGAATCTGGTGTATGTTAATGAGAGCATTCAATCGGTATATTTACTTTTTTTTAAATAATGATGATAAAGTTCTAGATACAAATAATGGCTAGCAGAATTCTGACCTACAAGTTAATATGAATCAAGTTCATGCTGGGCAGCTTTTACTTCTTGCATTCACCAAGTATTGTCTTTGTCAGAGCTAAAACACAAAAATCCGAGTCAGCTCTACTTTCTTATCAAACCTGGAACTTTCAACAAAAGTCATCACCTCATCCCATAAAATGTATAAACACAGAGAAATAAAAGAGGTTATTCTCTGGAAATATGTGTCAGATTGTAGGCACAGGAACAACATAGCCTACTGTGAAATATCTTTTAAAAATAGACTGTGGGATGGTATAAAGTGTCTCACTAACCTAATTAAGTGGTACGATAGATGTTTTAGAATTGACTCGTTCTCAAACAAACAATACATGCCACATTCTCTGCAAGTATTACCTGGCCCTTTGAATTGACTATGGGGAGCAAAACCAGTGTGACCTCCATACAAAAAGTTTCGATAGGAGAGAAGAGCCTCATATGGGTTCCTCAGAAGTAGTATTCCCCGACCTCGGAAGAGTTTTACTTCTGCTGTACGCTGGGCCAACCTTGCAGGAACAGAACCCTCCAGTGCAAACCCATGTGTCTTCTGTACTGCTGTGCAGCCACAGTCTGGAGGAACAGCCTCCCCATAGAAACCTGTATGAAACAATGTCAGTTATAATAGCAAATGTGATTCTGGATGGTGCCACAGGATGCATATTAGTGCTTTGCACTCATCTCCATTGTACACATGCCTTCATGGAAAGCTGATGGACCACACATTCATTGTCAACAAACACTACATAACTGATTGAATCATAAAAGTAGCACCTTCTACAAATTAAAATTTAAGTTTGTAGGGTTCATTTACAGAAGTCTCATCTAAACATAATACTACAAACCATCACTACTGGATACTTATAAGTACAGATACTCGTATGTCAAGGGTTATCACAATTGTTGCCTTGTCCATGAATTCAATCCAGTGAAGCCAGAATTCTGAGCTTTGTTCCTATGAAACCTTAAAATACATTCATTGCAAACATTTTTTTAATTGTTAAGAATTTAAGCAAGATGAAGAAATGTGAAATAGATATTTTTAATCAGACTGCCCCCATCAAAATGGTAATGTGCCTTAATACTAGATCTCTGGAAATTTTGGCCCTATCTGCTCTAAAATGAAAGCAGAGTGCTCATGTTCAGAAATGATGTATTTTGTCCATTCAGTAGGGAACATATATTGATGTAATAATTAGCAAGTATCCAGCTTCACCATCACAATTGCAGTTCAGTAGTGTGCGAATATGGTAATCATGTGTTTGTCTGATGATGGCTTTAATAGCCGAAACATGTTGCATAAGCTAATTTTAGCCTTGACCATTGTATTGTTGTGGTGTGACAGACTCTAATAAAGAATTATTATCAAGCTCATAATTGTGGCAAAAGAGAAGCTGCAAACAACTTCCCAGAAACGTGCTAAACATTACAGTAATTAATTGTATATGTTCACAATTTAACCCTTTGAAGCTCAGTGGTTACTATATGTTTTGCTCATTTTAACGTTAAGAAACTCTAAAGTCTGCCCACTGAATGTATTTCGTGTTGTAACAATTTACAATATAGAGAGCAGTTACTTTACCACTGTCCATGCCCACTTATGCCCGTGAGATGAGTTTTCTCTTCACTCACTCCCTCACAATAACGCACCTGGTCACAATATTGCACTCACTCCCTTCAAATTTTGCTCCTCCACTGCACTGAACTCCACTCACCTTCCTGAATGGCATTAAAGTGGAAACTGACTAACTTACTCGCTAACCAACTAGCTCACTGTCTACTTCTTTTATAGGCATATAACCTCTAGGGAATGACTCTGTCAAGTTGGTAGCTGACCTCAGCCTTCCTTGTCAGCCAAGAGGTTTCTCAAAACAGTCTGAGTGATGCACACACAGGCAAGGCCACACAATCCCCTTTGCACTCAGCTCCCATGACAATATGGTTCTAAAACAGGGATTATCTCCTTAAACAGCATGATCGCTGTAATGGAGTTAACATGTTTTCTTTCACATTAGAACTGACTTTTTAAATACTATTTAGATTAATTTCAAGCTTCAAGGAGTTAAAAGCTTGTCCTTAACACCTAGTCAGTCACTCAGTTCACACTTCTGGAGCTTACCTTTGCTTATAATCCTCCGATCAATGTAAACACTTCCAGTGAATACACCAGATGCTGTTTCCAGAAGATAGCGGACCCATGTATTACCACTTCCAGGGAAGGAGACCAGAGCGGTCATGGGTAGTGATTTCTGTCTTGCAAAGTGAATGCGATAGCGACTGCATTCTTCAGAGGAAGGCCATGGAACAAACGTCTTTCTGTTCCTATCAACTTCTATGCCCATAGATATACCTGCACACATGAAATGTCTCTAACAATATTTTGCCTTAGACCAGGGTTTAGTATGGTTTAAAGAGCTCAAATACTCCTGTTATAGCCAAATATACTGAACCCGGTCACAATGTGACATACCTTGGCAAATCACGTTCAGGTTAGAAATGGGCTGATCATGTTTGGAGTTGCCAGAGTAACGGTTGAACCACTGAATGCTATATCTGTATTTTCAGATCGGCATCTTCAACAATTCTAAGACCGAAATCCTTAGATTAAAGTACTGAAAATACATATTCCAACTAGATGGGTAAATAGTACAAGAGAAGTAAATAAATGAACAGTGCACAATTGGGTTGTAATAATTCTGACACAAGAATGAACAGCGAGGATTGATTATAATATTACTTGTTTGTGTTTATTCCAGAATCTAGTACTGACAGATCTGGACTCTGCACATTAACCATATATCACATATGTATAGATTCCTGCTGTCTGCTGGGTCACAAATGACAACACACTCTGACAACATGCAAGAAAAGCAGGAAAACAGCTTCGGCAGCATCAATGAATGAAACCCTTGCTGTGCCACAATATTGAAAAGCCACACAGCTGTCAACAGGTAATTTCTTCACACCACTACATGCAGTTTGGATCAGAAATGAAGATCTAGAATCAAAATTGACAAATCTGAAGACTGCAATGAGAGCAGGCACTGCTTAGCAAGGCAGCAAGTGTTCCGCCTGCTCCATTTGCCTCTGTAGACAACATGATCCATCTTCAAAAATACAAGGTAAGTAGAGGCTAATTTAAAGTCAGGAACAACAAAGGAGGGACCAGAGTCACATCTAAGGAAATGGCTGACTATTCAGCATTTAGGCACTGCTTTGGCCCTAAATATATCAGATGAGTTACTTCACCTACTTTCCAAAATCAAATATCCCCATCAAGGCTGTCACAAGGTATCTTCATCTAGGAACTCTAATGGAAGACATCTCAAATGGCTTTGTTGAGCTAGGTTTTGACATTGTAAATGTTAAGCAGATGATGTTGATAAGAGTGATTAAGGAAGGCGAATGTCAAGGAATTTCATGAAAGAAAAAATGAATAATTGTCTTCTGGCTGCTACAACTGCAAGTTGAAAGAAGAAGAGCAGTCACATCCATTTACGTACCGAGGCTGCAGCCATGTCAAAGATGAAATGCTACCGAGGAAATCTCGGGGAACATCCTACAGGGAAGCAACAGGAAGGATGTCTTCCTCCACTTACACTGTTCCTGGATAATCCTTTGCAGTGGCACTACACAGAAAACCGCACATCAGCTTCATGAGGTGTGGCAGACACCAGTGGTCATGGTAGATGTTCTGCCTCCCACCCAGCAACACACACTAGAATACAGGACAACCAAAGACTCCAATATAACTGAACAGTGTCATCAAGGGCACAACTGCAGTGTAGAAGATTATGAAAGAGCTCAGTGGGGCTGCGTCAGAAGAAAACAAAATTGTGACATATTAACTAATACTGCCCTTATGTTCAAGAAACAAAATGTAAAATAGAGTTCATAGGCCTGCCAAAATCACAGCATTTAGTGCAAATGACGCTGGGAAGCAGTGTTATGAGCACAGTAAACAGCTGTAAGTAGTACCTGTAGATGTATATATAGATGCTGCTCTTCTCTCAAGGGCCTGTTTAAAACCTGATGATAGATGATGATGATGACGATGATATTTATATAATCTCTCATTATTTATATTACAAATGCACACTGTGGATGTCATGAAAGAGTGAAATTCTGTCAACTTGTAAGAGGGTCATTAAACATTTACCTCTAATTCAACAGATACAAAATTATTGACTGTCTTCCGTGTTATTGCAAGAGAGAACAGAGTTTCTGATGACAAGTTACTTTTAATTCCAGATAATTTTCAAAATGACATCATAATTAAACAAACCTGGTACATGTGGATCCAACTGTGGCTCTACTGTGATGATATTGTTTTGTGTGGGCACTCTGAAATGAAAGAAGTAGTATTAAAATAATTTATCCTAAATTCCTTTCATTAAATTTGATTTGGTTCCTTGGTACTTTTTATTAGCTAACGTAAAGACAGACCCAAAAAATGTTAATTATCTTGCATTGCTTGAATGACAACCCTTCTTCCACCGTTTTCTTTGTCTGTCCTGCCAGTCCTGCTTTTAGATAAGGTGGCTCTTTTTCTATTACTTTGAAAATAAAATCATATATATATAAAAATGGCCTAGACAATGCCCATCTGGCCTTCTGTAGCACATTTTTATAAACATCTCATTCTCTCACAGCAGTAGCTCTAGCATTCACATGACTAGTACCGTCTTTTGAGAGAATATCACACTACACACCATACACTACACATCGTGATGTATGCCCCGCTTTATCTACACCATTATCTTATTATTGGGGTCAAAACAGAAATTCTGCTCTGTAGAAATTCCGATCTTACCTTCACCAGGTGGGCATGGCCCACTATCAGGGGCCTTCAAAACATAAACTCCAACAACAAACGCATCAAAGACGGAAAAACCAAGAACATATCACAGTTTAAAACGATGATTATCAAGTGCGGCAACTATATTTATTTTAGGAACAAACACAAAAAAGCCAGTGATAAAAAGAATTAAGGTGTTATAAAGTTCAGTATGCATCTTGAGTTTGAGTTGCTTTCATGCACTGAATGAACTCTGTTCCCAAACATTCCTTTACATGTCAAATGACCGAATGTGTATCTGAGTATATACATACATACATATGTGTGTGTGAGTGCGTGAGTGCGTGCGCGCGCGCTCGCATGTTTGTATTAGCCTGACGCTCACTGAAATTTTAGAAGGAAAATGTTGCAGTTATCAACGTCCTCATTCAATTGTGAGCTTATAATCTATTACTCACATGCAATTTTATGTTTATAAAAAAACGTCATAAAATTATGCAACCTCAATAACTAGAAGAATTTCTGGAGAGAGAGTTATATTATACAAGGTAAAGTTGTCCTTGTGCTTAACTAATTAAACACTATACTGTGAAGACATATGGGGGGGGGTGGACATATAGATTCCCATTTTCTTGACCTCAGCACTAGCTAGAGGTGAGTAGTCAGCTTAAACCCCTTCAGCTTTACCCCCAGGGTAAAGAGCCCACGGTACCCATTGGACAGGAGGTTGGGTGGATCCCAAATTCTGTCTGGTGGAGAAAAGAAAATTCTTCACCCTACAGGAACTCAAACTCCGATCCCTCAGCCGTCCAGCCCATAGCCTGTCGCTATACTGACTGCGCTATCCCGGCTCCTGGGTTATATTATACATGTACATAATTAAATGTTATAATTATGATAGGCAATAAGCGCTGCTGCTCTCTGGAAGTACACAGTGAAATCTTTACCCACCACTGCTGTTTGTTAACATCATTGTCTGCTCCTATCTGTAACTAGGTGTATTACGAACTCTGATTGCTTACATGACATAATAGTAAGCGTAATCCTTTCATACTTTTTAGGGCGCACTCGAAGTTCGAATCCCGGTAGGGCCAAAATTATTCTCTTCTCCACGTCGTCCAGACCGGCTCTGAGTCCACCCAATCTCCTATCCAGGCTCTGAGTCCACCCAATCTCCTATCCAATAGGTACCGGGGGCTCTTTCCCCGGGGGTAAAGCGGCCAGGGCGTGAAGCTGGCCACTCACCTCTAGCTAGTGCCGAGGTCCAGAAAATGTGGATCTATACATCCACTCCCCCATACGCCTTCATGGCACAGTGCTTAATTACAGGGGCAACTTTACCTTTACCTTACAGGTCGATGTATGGAGTAAGGATAATTCTTTCGTGCTCTTTGTTCACGTAAGCGGTCATGACATTGCTTTTTGTTCAGGCGTACAGACACAAAATTTTTCCTTCTCCCACGACAATTGTTTTCTTTTCGAGTTTGCTGCCATCGAAATTTGTTTGCTTCAGATTCTCTGACCGAAGGATCAGTTTAGTTTAGGGGGGTGAGGTGGGCACAGTTGTCTTCAGTAAAATGGATGCATTCCTAAAACTTAAAAAAAATACGCACATTCTACATTATGCATATTACATTTGCCGGTCACGGTAGCCGAGCGGTCTAAGGCATGCACTGTCTTCGCTCAGCCGGGATCGTGGGTTCGACTCCCACACATGGCATGGAAGTTTGGTGTGTATATGCGTTTATTCTGTGTTTGTGTTGTCCTGTGTTTAGGTAGAGGCCTTGCGACGAGCTTATCACCCGTCCAAGGAGTCCTACCGTCTGTAAAAATGATAATGAAACTGAGAAATCTGCCCTATGCTCCAAAGTGGAACCAAGAGGAGAGAAAAACATTATATCACATTTATACCGAGAGCCGCGGTAGCGTAGTGGTTAAGGCACTATGCCACAAGTCGGAAGGTAACAGGTTCAAATACCGATGAGGTCATTGGATTTTTTTCAATTGACCTAATCCTTCCGGCCCTGGGGTTCACTCAGCCTCTAATAGAAATGAATACCAGGAATTAAATAAATAATTTTCCTGGGGAGTAAAGCACGGCCGGAGCGTAGGGCTGACAACCTTACAGCCATCTTTGAGCCGATTGTCTAGATAATGTGGGACCCTCAACGTCCCTCGCGTCTATGGGCCTTCATGGCCGTTACGGGGATAGCTTTACTTTTTACTTTCTTACATTTATACTAAAATATATAACCGAGATTGTTTACTTAGCCTGTACTGCCTCTAATTTTTATTCGGAAGGTGCCAATTTCGAATCTCGGCTGGGACAAATACTCTCCTTAGATTTTCCTGGTTTTATTTAGTCCCTTCAGACGAAGGGAAATGCAGGCATTCTGATAAGATGATAAATCACATTCGTTAAATGTCTGAAAACATTCTCTTACGTCAATAATTTTCGCTATTACTTCTGGGCTCTCTTACCTGTAGCGTGGGGTAGTGTAGTGTCTAACTACCCTCAGCATGGTTTCCTCCAGGTCAGGTGTCACTAGCAGGAGTACCAACATCCCCAGCACTGTTGCTGTCATCATCAGGAACAGTTGCATCACCTTCAGGAATGGGCTCATGGTGACTGACAAAATATACGCGTGCATTAGTAGGACCAATATTCAACAACTTTTCTGCATATCTTTCGTGCATCTTTAACTTTCCTGACTTGAACGCCGTAGATAGAATTACCCCCCATCACCAAAAAGTAGTTCAAAATATAGGCCTAACAGATATCATAAGAGCTAAGCACCCGCTTTCGTCGTCATAACCGGTCACTATCCTATCGTACCAGAACCTGTTGAGATTTCATATGACTATGGAGCACTCAATGGAGTGAGAGGGGCAGGACAAACAGAAGTAATCGGAGAAAACCTACCCCAAAGGTCATCTTTTCCACCACAAATCGCATATGATCTGACCTGATAAAGAACCCGGGCTACCGCAGTAAGAATCCTTAGTTATGACAAGGCCCACATTGTGATAGCGCTATATTACAGTTTATCACGCAGACTTACACAGCCACCAAGAACCGTTCTAACGCGGCATATGTTTCGTGAAACACATTCTTTGAAAACTTGTTTTGTGTCCTACGCTACAGAACTTCATGCAAGTCCCACATAAAAGTGTATTCGAATCAGTCCTTTTGTTAAAAGAAATAATGAAATTCGTGAAGCAGTATCCTTCTCGAGAAGCTAGTAGTTGCTCCTGAAATAACTTCGGCAGTCGAAACAGTGTCTCTAATAACCTAATAATAACAGCAGTTTCTTTCATAAGTATTAGAAGGATTTTTTTATTTAATTTCAAGCTATGATTTTGACTTCAGTTTCAACCGAATACTGAAATTACATCTAGAACAGTAACTAATTTAACAATTATATAAAATGTAATTACTACTTTTAAAGGATTGCATACGTAGTAAGCCCTGGTTTAACGGCAAGGATTCCTTTTCTAAATCGCGATGTTATGTAAAACGACGTTAAGCGGATCCATTTTTACCATAAGAAATTTAAGAAATGCGTAGGTTACGTTCCTCTGCTCTTCTTCACCCACAGAATATGCGTTGCAATATAAACAATACGAATGCGACTGTAGACACGTGTATATTCTTAGCTATAATCATATGAGAATTAAAAACTACAATAATTTAGATTTCACGTTTAGTATTAGTGGCATTCGCGGATGACCAAAGGTGAAGCGAGCGAGTGGTGGATGAAGGTCTGGTCTCGCCAACATTAAACATTGTTCAGAGTAGTAACCTTCCTCTTCGGCCATTTTCTTAAACCCTTGAATGAACAACGACGTAATAACGAGTTAACATGACGTGTGAAGCCTTCGTATGAAAATCGTACCAATGTAATAAAGAAAGGATATTGAGTGGGACAACGTTAAACGAGGATTTGCTGCGTTTGAGACACAAGTTACAAAACAAAGTTGTAAATCAATAGTTTCTCTTGGGAATTAAATCACGCTGCTGATGATAACTTCCAAAAAAGTAGAAACATGTTGGATGGAACACATAATAAATTTCAAAGAAAAGAGTACCTGATAGTATACTTATCCAAATTAATTGTATTTGGCGGCGGGGATATTATTTATAGACTTGCAGGTGATTTTTTATTCCAGAGAAAATTTAATCAGGCGAGAATAAGAAATAGGGGGGAAAATATTTATGTCCACAGGACAGTTAATTTGTGGATATTCATGCAGAACTTAATTTACAGTATTTTTTAAACAGCCCGTCTCAAATTGACGATGCAACATAAACAGCTTTATTAAAGCTACTTCGAATTCGATTAAGTTGACTTACTCTCTTCTTTTCTTTTGGATTGTAGGGTGGGGGGAGGTATTTATGACGCTTTCAGTGTCTGGAATATCCAACTCGAGATTCAAACCAAGCAATTGGTGAATATTGGGCTTGAGCTTTGCCACTGTAATACGATCAGCTTTACAATAATGAAGTCATATCTACGATAAGTAAATATGAATACAATAGGAAATGCAAAATTCCCCCCCCCCCAAAGAAAAACAGATTTGGGGCATGTATAGCCTGCTCTAATGGTGCTGAATTTATAACCCCTATTTATACAAAAGTGAACGTCCCAGATATTAAATTGTAAATACGAGTATATATGTATTTTTTAATGATTAAGTGGAGGTGGATGAGATGGGCGCGGCATGTAGCATCCATGGGGATAGATGAATTCATACAGAGTCATGGTGGAAAAGCCGAAATGAAACAGGCCACTTAGAACACCTAGAGTGTAATATTAAAAAGGATCTTAAATAAACTGGATGGGGTGGTACGGACTGGATTGACTTGGCTCAGGACAGGGACTGGTGGCGGGCCCTTGTGAACACGGTAATTAACCTTCTGGTTCCGTAAAACGTTTGGAAATTCTTCAATAACTGAGCAACTGGTGGCTTCTCAAAAAGGACTTACATCCACGGAGTTTGTTAGTTATACGTGTATATGAAGCTATGTATATATGTATGATTGTCATAGTGACCTATGTATTATTTCTTGAGGAAATAAATCAGTGAAATATTTTGTGTCATTTCAATTTGCCCCTCAAAACCTTAGCGAAAAATATTTATAGCCAGATTTGTAGATATTAACGGCTTCGAAACATATCTGCAGTGAGTTTCTGGGTCACTTCAGCCAAATATTTTACGCTTATCAGCGGGCCGCTTTTCTTAGGAACTCAGAACTAACAAAATCAATAATTCCACATGCTCCTGCTGCTGGCGAAAAGTGATTTATTCTCACGCCAAGCGCAGTACAGCTAGTAGCTGGACGCAGAAAGTTGGGAAACAGATTTCGGTAGGGCAGAAAGAGCGTCCAGCACAATTTGCTCAAGCGGTACTGCGTCTGAATAATACTGGGAAGGTGTTCGCTTCGAATCTCTGCTGAGACACTGACACAGACTATTCTGATTGAAGTTTCTAGTACTTTTCATCAGTTCTTCCGAACAAATGCCCTGTGATATTTACTCAGGCCACTACCCCTCCGTTCCAGTTCGTGATTCACTTTTCATCATACCATCCGACGCTGTATAGTATGATGTACTGACGAGTTCGTTAAATAAAGCATAAATTGATAAATTCCACAGATTAGTGGTTGTAGAATCGAGTAGCCGCAACTTGGTGGATGTAGAAGGGAAAACCATTCAGTAACTAAATAAGTACATCAGAGTTACGGTACGGAAATTTGTCATCACAGAACGTCAGATGATGGAAAGTTGAACGGTACTCGGTTAAAATCTCAACTAAATTCTCGATTTTGAAAAACTTAGATGAAGTATTGCAAACAGTATCGAAACATCAGCCGACAGTATTCTAGGACAGAGAGTGCAGAATGTTATCCAGAGCAATCACACTACGCTATAGGAATATGGCAAGGGAAGGTCGCGGGTTCGATTCCCGATTAAGTCATTGAATTTTTCAATTGACCTAATCTTTCCAGCCACACCATGTCCCTGGTTTCAGCTCAGCCTCTAATAGAAATAAGTACCAGGAATATTCCTGGGGGTAAAGGGCGGCCGAAACGTAACGGCTGACAACCTCACCGCCACCTATGAGCCGATTGTCTAGAAAATGTGAGAGCCTAAACGTATCACAACCCTATGGGCCTCCACGGCCTGTTACAGGGATAGCTTTGTCCTTTACCTTTTACTATTTAAGAGACAAGATTAATTGGCTAGAAACTAACATGTCCACACTCTTATATTCTTAGCTCCCTGTGATATCTCAAATTCTACCTTCCATTAGATAATAAGAAGGAATATTTAAAATTATACAATGATATGTAATGATCGAATGCAGAAACGTCTAAAAAGAAAACTGAATAGAATGTGTGTGTTTCGAGGCAAAACTTCAGAAATTAAAATTACATAAAAATAAAAGCAAAATATTGGACAAATAAAAAATCTCAGTGTCAGTCAAATTAGGACGTTTATGTGAGGGTGAGTCAGTTAATAGGTCATAAATGGATATAAAACATAAAACACGTGGACCTGGAAAAGAACATTTATTTCTCGACATATCCTCCATCAGCACTGATACACTTGTCCAATCGCTTTACCAGTGCGTCGAAACCGCAGCATAGAAGTCTTTTGACTGTTGTCTCAGCCACTTACTCATTTCCGTTTCAACCTCGTCATCGGCGAAACGCTTGCCACCAAGGCGGTTTCTTAGCGGACCGTACTCACTACGAGCCAAGTCCGGGCTGTAAGGTGGATGTTCAAGAAGTTCCCACTGGTCCTTGCTGTAGTACAACTTGGGCTGTATGGAGTCTGGCATTGCGTTGATGAAGCAGTACACATTTTGCCAGTTGGCCTGGACGTTTTCTGCGAATTGCATCTCTAAGCTTCAATAGAACTTCACAGTACATGCAGAACTCACTTTTTCACCACGCTTGGCCGCGCCATAGCTCAAGCGGTTAGTCGTTGGCTTAACACCGCGGTGACCCGGCTCTGGCCAAGTTGGATTTGTGGTGAACAAAGTGGCGCTGGGGCGGGTTTTCTCCTAGTACTTCGATTTCCCTTGCCAATCTTCATTCCACAAAATTCTTCATCATCATAATCACACGGGGCAGGTACAATCGGCCAATCAGTGGCCGCTGTGCCAAGTGGACCCAGTTGGACTCCACCCCCCACTAAAAGTAAAGTAAAGTAAAGTAAAAAGTAAAGCTATCCCTGTAAGAGGCCATGAAGGCCCATAGGGTTGTGAGACGTTGAGGCTCCCACATTTTCTAGACAATCGGCTCAAAGATGGCTGTAAGGTTGTCAGCCTTACGCGCCGGCCGCGCTTTACTCCCCAGGAAAATTATTTAACTAATTCCTGGTACTCATTTCTGTTAGAGGCTGAGTGAACCCCAGGGCCGTAGCGCGGCTGGAAGGATTAGGCCAATTGAAAAAATCCAATGACTTCTTCGGGACTTGAACCCGCGACCTTCCGGCTTGTAGCATAGCCCCTCAACCAACTACACTACCGCGTACCCCACCCCCCCTAAGCGAATTAAAAAAAAAAAATAAAAATTTCACCACGCTTCTGAAAATGGACCAACGGTACTCCCTAAGAATCCCAAAATATTGATATGTTGGGTTTTTGGACTTTATCCATCGTCCTGGTTTTTAAGATAACAAATAAGAACACGACGTTTCGGAAACTGGATCTGTTTCCGTCCTCAGGTGAAGGAAAACACCTATTCACTGGACCAGTAGGTCCAGTGATTGAGGCTAGCTCTTTATAACGGACCCAACTGAATAGGTGTTTTCCTTCACCTGAGGACGGAAACAGATCCAGTTTCCGAAACGTCTTGTTTTTATTTGTTATCTTAAAAACCAGGACGATGGATAAAGTCCAAAAACCCAACATATCAGTGTGTTATACACCATCGTCAGAATCCTATAGTAACTAATCCCAAAATATGGTAAGCATAACCTCCCCAGCTGATGGTGTAACCTTAAACTTTTTGGCTGAAAGTGAACTGGGATGTTTCCACTGCACTGAAGCACGCTACTTTTAGGGTTGTTAATGATGCGCCCAGTATTCGTTCCCGGTATGAGTAAGAATCCTGTTAAACATACGTTCTCCTTCATCTGCATACAGTAAGAGCTGCTACAAGGACAGACATTTTTGGTTTATTTTTTCTCGATCCTTCAGTTCTCTGGGCACCCACCGTGCGCACACTTTCCGAAACTTCAATCATGCATTATGTTGTATGCTAAACTATGGGAACACCCTAGTGCAGTTGCTACACTGTCTACCGTTATCCTCCTCTCAGCTCGAAACAACTCTTCCTCCCATTGAACAGTTGCTTCTGTCGCAGTCTGAACATGGCGGTCTGGTTGGGCATCATCTGCGGCTTTCCAACGTCCTCGATAGAATTTCTCGGCCCAGTTATGAACCGCTTTACGTGACAAACACTTCCGACCGTAAAGAGGAAAACATTTCTGTACGAATGCCCTTTGCGTTGAGTCCTTTTGCACCCAAAAACGCATAACAGGACGCTGCTCTTCCGTAGTATACCCTCAAGCACGGTAGCTATTTTGACTATTGAAACCAGCCTCTGAGTATGCGCATGCGCATCTGCTGCTTAGACTGTCATGAACTGTGCTGCTACCTAGTGATAGACATACGACTCGTAGGTATCACTAGGTATGATACGAGTATAAGACCTCAGCTGTTTTACTTACATTCGTGACCTATTTACTGACTCTCCCTCGTAGTTGCTATATAGGACTGAATACGGCAAAAAACGAAAACGATGTAAGCAGGTAGGATGACATAAATAATGAAAGTTATGCAAAACAATGATATGATGCCAGGAGATCGGCCACTCCACATACACTTGGTCGTCGATTTACGATCTACTTCCGTTCTGACTGACAGGTCTAAGTCGATCTGGTCGTATGTCGGCCATGTATTTATTAACAGTATTTTTAACCTTTCTAATCTTTTTATCATCTTTATAATTTATTTTTAAAAACTTTTACATTTTAATCATCTTTTATTTTTCATTTTTTTTTTTTGTGGTCGTAAGTGCGGCCGGTCGTAAGTCGACGACCAAGTGTATTCACTAATGTCATAAATCATACGGGCCAGTCTCATGTTTCTCTTCAAAGAAAATGTATATGTGCATGTTCGTTTGGTTCGGCGTCAAAGTTCCGTATTCTTTTGCGAAAGCAAATGGCGATAACATGCAGCTAACGTGCCTAGTCTGTAATTGGGAAGCGAATCAGGTACTTCAAATTCCGGTGAGAGGTATTTTGCAGGTTTCTTCTGCGATCTGATTCAAACATTAACCCAACTCACTTCCACGTCACACGTCATATTCATATTCTGGAGGTTTATGTTCAGTCCCACCTCAGTTTGAAAACAAGAACTAAATAAAGCCTTCCTCACCTTTGTCAGTCCCTCCGGTAAAATGATGAATCTGAAAACTAGAAAGTCCTAGAACTGCTGACGTAATATAGTTTTAATGACAAACGAGTGAGTTAACTCTCTTGCAGTAGAATCCAACGGTCCAGATCGACCAACTCGACAATGGCTACGATTCTAAACCACTTATTTTCACACTTCTATCTTCAAAATATCTTTCCCTAACAGCCGTCTTAAAAATACTGTTCTTCAAACTCTTCTCCGACTCTCAGATGAACTACTTCCCTCAGAAATTTTCTCAAATAAAATCCTGTGTCAATCATTTTCTGACACAATCGTATTACATGTGTAACCAATGTTAACATCTGTTTACTTTATTGCCCTAAAAAATCTAGGTGGCGTACATAAACGATCAAGTTTGTTTACGTAATTTATAGGTCTCCTACTGATCCTATCTACCTTACGTTAACATATTTTCAAACACTTTTCATTCAGATTCAATCCAAGCTTCACAATTATACACAACTGACAAAACTGTTGGTTTATATGTATTATTTATATCCTTATCGTCAGTGTTTTGGAAAGCAGACGTGATAACAGTTCTTTAATTAATAATAATAAGCAATTCATGGATCTGTCCTCTTCTAATTTTCACCTAGGGTTTCATCTTATGTCTATTTTACTGCGACTGTTGCGAATTTTTGTTCTGTAACATTGTACTTCGTGAATCATAGCTACCCCCGTCGTATAGGCTTAACACTCAGAATATTTACTGACCGGTATGAAGGTATTTTCCAGTCGATTCTTAAAAATGCCGAAAATTAATGATGTCGTGTTTAGTTGACCTGACTGCCCTAATTATGCTGTAATTATGTCACATTCTGGATTACACAACTGACAATCTAAATTATAAATAAATATTATATTTTGTTTCAGTAACCTCCACGCAATTATAAAAGTATCAGATTTACACGTCTAAACGACATAAGGCCTAAATGTTTATTTACAATTGCGCAATGCGTCCAATGTAATTTTAAAATGCATATCAGTTATGCCAAGATACGTAGGTCTATATAATTTTCATACGCAGACATTCCGGACAATTCCACCAAGCCCACCATTAGAAGAACTGAAGATTGTGGTGGTACTTACTGCCTTGCTGCTACGTTACGTGAGGGGCCCCGAAACCATTGTTGTGTCACGTGCGCCTTGACTGGTGTGTCGTATTGTGGAGATGCGGAGGTTGTGCCAGGGGGCGCTCTGCCGCAATATCCCCCTCTCGCACCCCACTCCAACCTCTTTCACTCTTGGCAGGAACTTGCATTCTGCTTGTTTCTATTGATTTAGAGGCAGCCTCACGCCGTACTCGGGGCACGCAAATAAAATTTCTCACTCCGCTTGTGTTTCATTCCCTGTTAATACAATAACGGGAACAAGGGTTCCACATACCATTTAAATACAATCCTGGGATTCTTTCGTTTAACGGAGCCTTATCTCGACCGTAAGACAAATGGTGGCAGGCATGCAATGTGGATGTTATTTAGAAAAAAGTTCCGGTGCCTGAAACCCTTTACCATACTTTCTTAACTTCTTCAATTAATGCCACAGTTCTTTAAGGCCTAAGTTAAGAGAAAAGGTCGCGTTTCCACGAGCATCATACCGGGCAGGTTAGCGTAGCGGTAACATTCTAGAAGTGTATTCCTGAAGTACCTGGCTAGAATCGTGACAATATCACGGGTACCGTTAAGTACTTCGTCAATTTCATTCTCCCTAGGTCAGTCATGGGCTGTTTGAAGACTTCATTCCGGCATTCTTCATGTTTCCATTCCGAGTAATGACAGAGCGTTTTGCATGTCAGTTGTGAGAAGATGCCTGCTACTAGACATAATGAAATTATTCAACTGAAATGTATAGGAGCTGAGTGACAAATTCAAACAATGAGATAATCTCAGCGGAAACATTTCAATTAAAGAGTCAATACAAAAACTATCTAAATAAAGTTAATACAATCTAAACTTGTGTTTATACTATATCATTATGGTACATGATATCTTTGTTTAAATGTTTGTTAAATGTAAAACATGTCATATTCCAAACAAGTTTTTACTCATGAAGAAAGAGCCTTACTCAGCCTTTACCTGCGAGTGTGTCAGCAAATAGAGTACATAACAGGCAAATTATACCCTTATAACAAACACGAGAATTTCATAGGAAGTTAAGATCAGTAGCTCAGAGCAATTATCTTGTATGGATGTGTACATACCACAGCAAAAACTTTTGTTCAATACAAGCCATTACTTTTGTGTTAACATTTTCCTTTGCCGAGAACACTCATATTGATACCAGCAATAAAATAGGTTATTTTGGCTTTTATGAAAATTACAGTGCATGTTTACTTTGGACTAAGAATGAACATGGATGTCACATTAAAGATCGTTTATTTCAAATTTAATTAAAATCTATTCGTTCAGGGCATTATCAATGTACAGACCGACACATATGAATGCAGTCCCATCTGAGAACACTGCAAATAAGTTGGAATAGGTTTTGCATTTCAAAAGCTTTTGTAAAATGATCAGGAATTTTTGTGGTTTACAATAATCATTCCATGAAAGTGAGGGATGATTAATAACAATTTCTCATTTTCTTATATGGTCTATTCTTGTAAGTGTAGTAATAATGTGACAATTATGTTCAGAATGACAGAGCAACTGTATACAATGTTGAAACACTGTTAAGTGCCCCTGCCCTGCATTAAGGTACTACTGTGGTATTTGAACGGTGGGACTTTGAAGAATTATAAAAACATGTCTGAAAAAAAAACTGTAAAAACAGAAAGAATATGGGAAAAGAGGAAAGGGGGAGATAGTAAAATTTCCATCCAGAGCATGCTATTATAAGGGGCAGTCAAATGAAAATGGGTAACCATGCATAACTCACACAGTGCACAAGTTGGGAACACTGGAATTTGCTTACAGTATGAACATCTGGTGGGGACTCGGGAAAGCACAGTGACAACATGCCTTTGCACACTAGTCATTTGTTTATTGTGCTGGAAGTAAGGTTAGTGTGTTCGTCCAACATCAGTAATGGAGGCAGGTAAAGAAGGACAGCGAAGTGTAGTGCGCTTTTTGACTGCTGAAGGAGTAGGATGACAATAAATTCATCATTGTATGTCTGTTGTTTACGGCAAACACAGCACGTCACGTTCGTGTGTGCTGGCATGGCATCAGATTCCAAGAGGGACATGTCTCACTGTAAGATGATGCTCACCCAGGACAGGCTCATCGTGTCATCACTCCTGATATTATTGCTGCGTTGGATGGTCGTATCTGGGCAAACAGACGGATCACTGTGGAAGAAATTAGTCTTTTGATGGGAATAAGTCACGGTTCTGTACACGCCACTGTGACAAAACACCTGCTGCACCGCAAAATCTGCGTGCAGTGAGTTCCACATCAACTCATGGAGGAACAGAAGACTCAGAGAATGGCTGCATCACTGGGTCACTTATAACAATACCATGAGGAAGAGTATGCTTTTCTGTCCCATATTGCCACTGGGGACGAAACTTGGTGCCACCATTTTGAACCTGAGAGCAAACGGAAGAGCCAACAGTGGAAACACGTGAATTCTCTTTCACCAAAGAAATCCGAAGCCGTACACACAAGTACCAGTAAAGTGATGATATTCTTCTTCATCTGCAAGGGCTTGTCTCTGCTTGTCGAATTTCTGGAGCATGGGGCCACAATCAGTGCACAGTGCTATGAAGACACTTTGCAGAAAAAGACATGCCATAAAGTCAAAATGCCCTGGAATGCTATTATCCTTCATAATGCGCGCCCCCACACTGCGAACTCTGTGAGGAATACGCTATAGAGATTTGGTTGGGAAGTGCTTCAACATCCCCCTACAGCCCAGATCTCTCCCCATGTAATTTTCACCTTTTTGGAGACCTGAAGAGACACATTCGTGGAAATCGGTTTGCATCGGACGAAGACGTCTGTGGCTGGGTAAAGATGTGGTTCTGTAGACAGCCCACAAGCTTTTTCAAGGATGGGATTAACCATCTTATCTCCCAGTGGGGTAAATGTATTAACAGTTTTGGAGATTACTTTTGAGGTAATAAATGTTCTTTAATATGTTTTGGCTTCTGACCTGTTTTCATTTGACTGCCCCTCATATTTCATGCTTATGATGCAGACGCTGCCTGGATATTATTTTGAAGCAGTTATCTAATGCCATGTTTCATGTTTTTATTTAATGTAACTGCTTTGTGTTGGTGACTGGGCTAACGGAATTTCTTCCCAGCACTTGGGAATTTACTGATGTCTACACCCTATTTGCAGCTTTCACTACACAGCGCCACATCCCAGAAAACTGCTTACTTCACAGTCACTGCCATGAAACCTCAAATCTTACAACCCTGCGAGTGTTTTAATAAACATATGCAGGGTCTGTTCTTATCTATTTCAGCAGTCTTCCCAGATTTCCTCCAAGTTCAATCAGGAGGACTGTTTTCTAAGATTCTTAACCTTTAAATCACGGACTTTTAAACTGCCCTAAGTCTTTAAAATTGCAGAATTTCAGAAAAAAAAGAAACCTTCATATTTTCCGTTCTATGAAACATAGACATACAAACTAAAAACAGCCTGAAAAACAATAGCATTTTCTACATATACACAAAAGAGCAAGTTTACAAATTAAAATATTCTGTGATTGTCTTGAAATGCAAAATACTGCACTTCATTATATATATATATATATATATATATGTATTATGAAATACCAAGGGACTGAACTGAGCCAGAACCAAAGAGATTTAAATAAAATTAGAAAATAACTGTTATCAAGAAAATAATTAAACAGGGCCAAACACTATGACTTAAATGTTTCCTTGAAAAGAACATGTCTTCCTAAGTAAAATTCTATTTCTTCCATTTAATTTATACTTCAAATGCTATTTAGTTTCCCACTAACACATCATATCCCATCATAAAATATACAGTTTTGTAGTTAAAGATGTACTCAACTTCTTAGCAAACATAATATTCCAATTGTGTTCTTTTTGATTTTACATTCCTAATCGGTCTTCTTCTGGGCAATACATTCATATATTACTAAAAGTTAACTGGTGAATCATCTTTTGGCCACAGGCCACAATCACACTCATTTGTGCATAGGATTGGTAGTACTGCATTGCATGCAATGAAGTAGTTCGATGTACATCGAAAAGCACCTGAAGATGGCACTTTAGTGCTGAAACATGTAGTGCAAGAGAGAAGAGTAAGGTGAATAAATGTATGCACTGTAAGACGGTCAGAATAAATCATGGACATAAATCAGTGCAACAGGACGCTAAAATATAACAAGTGACATACCTTTCTCATTCTGAATTAGATTGTGCACTGACAAGTGCTATGTTCTGTATATGAAGTGTCAATTTCTTGTACTATTTCACAGACTTCAAAATGTACTGAACATAACCGAGCAGCATATCAGTCCAATCTACTGCATCCTTTTCAAAACTGTAATTCACAGCACATTTTTGCTTCACTTTAGGGGGTACATGGTAGCGTAGTGGTTAAGGTACTATGCTACAAGCTGGAAGGTCATTGGATTTTTTTCAATTAACCTAATCCTTCTGGCCGCACTAGGCCCTGGGGTTTACTCAGCCTCTAACAGAAATGAGTACCAGGAATTAATTAATTTTCCTGGGGAGTGAAGCGCGGCCAGCGCGTAAGACTGACAACTTTACTGACATCTTTGAGCTGATTGTCAAGGTAATGTGGGACCCTTAACATCTCATAACCCTATGGGCCTTCACAGGCTGTTACAGGGATAGCTTTACTTTTTACTTTTACTTTACTAGGTTATTTTGTCTTCCAAGTCACACTTTCCAGTGTTCATGGTTCCATCGGAATGAAAAGCAGAAAGCATTCTCGTCTGCCATACCACTTCATGGCCATAAGCAAATTACGGTCACTGACTGTACTTTGCCTACCAAAAGTTTTTGAGACAGAGATGGCATACCTTGTTTCCAAACACTGTAACCATAGGAACTGTTCTTAAACAAGCACCATAAAAGTTCTTATGACTCCTGATACAATATGCAAGCAAAGAGATCTTTTTACAGAGTTCTTGTGTGAGTAGGGTCTATGGTCATGAAACACTGCAATGCGTATATGTGAAGGAAGGCTGTCAAGACACACAGAGGCCAGTAGCGAGTGTGACCATGGTACTGATGGGGTTAAGGATTCATGAACATATTTCCCTTCTATTGGTACAGGCTGCTAAATTTGTTGTTCATGTATTTTAGAACTGAATCAATTTTGAACAAATACAGTGAGACAGAGTGAACACAGAACAGAAGCACTTACCGGAGAACAGAGTAGAATGAAGTCTTTGTCATAAGATTATCTATCAGCTCTGGCAGAAACACAAAAAATGATCAACTACTGTAATAACACTTTTCACTGTATATACTAACTGAAAAGCAAAAAGGGAAAATCATCAGGGTACAATTTACTGTTACATCAAATATGCTAAACAAGATGTTTCCAAGACCGTGTAACATTTTATTTATTATATTACACTGTACACGATATCCATTTCAACAAACTTCATTCACAGTCACATTTAAGTGCAAAAGTGACTAATAAATACATTTTGCCAAGGCTTCAATCAATACTGAACACCAGGGATGCTCATGCTTAGCCTCAAAAGTGTGGTTCCATTTTTTGGCAGATGAAATTCCAGTTAGAAGTAATTCACTGCAATGTGAATGTGACTTGGTTTGTAAAGTCATTTACTTCAAGACATACAGGAAATTTCATTTAATTTCCCACATTTATTTACAAACAAAAATTTAAGAACCATGAAGCATTTCACTCTCTTTACAAAGTTTAACAAAATATTCCAAGGTGTACTACTTATGTAGATCTTTCCCCCAGTTATATTTTCAGAAGGAATGCACTTCAAGTTTTGAAGCTGAAAGTGAAATCACATCCTGCAACAATCATCCCTGGCAGTTATGATACTCATAATCTCAAACGCTTAAAATAGTCTAAAATGAAATATCTAAAATGAAAACAGGTGGAATTTTACCTAACTTTCATCTATTTCATATCTGTTTTAATTCATTGCCCTTTGGCTTCTAATTTTCGTTTCAGTGACTCTGGCATCTCAGGCGGTGGAGGTCGTGGCAGACGCAGCCAAACTTTCACTGCATCATATATGAACCACTGAGCAGCTGTCAAGGTGCCAATCATAATAATCCTGGGAGCAAGACCCTTCCACAACCCTGCAGAGTGGAGAAAATTAGATTAAATAAGACTGCTTTCATTAGTGCTTTTGCAGTCGGTATAGCAACTGGCTACTGGCTGGACAACCAAGGGGTTGGATTTCAAGTACTGATGGGGTGAAGAATTTTCTCTTCTCCGCATTGTCCACACTGGCTCTGAGGTTCACTCAACCTCCTATCAAATGGGGGGTAAAATGGCTATGGTGTGAAGCTGACCACTCACCTCCAACTAGTGCCGAGGTCAAGAAAATGTGGATCTATACATCCACTCCACCATCCGCCTTCATGGTGTAGTGCCTCAATTAGTTAAGCACAGGGACAACTTTACCTTTTTACATTAATGCCTGGTGAGACTGGATATATTCACCAATCTTTTCTGAATAGTTTCCATGCTGAGGGCAGTATAATGACATTTTTTTTTCCCCCTGGCACTACAGCCCCAGTGGGCCTAGGCCTACCTCCATGAACTTCTCCGTTCACTTCAGTTTTTCTATATCTTACACATACAGTAGGACTCCTTGGGCGAGTGATCAGCTCGTCGCAAGGCCTCTACCTGTAGACAAACACAGAAAAACGCACACAAACATCCATGCCCTGAGTGGGATTTGAACCCACGATCCCGGCTTCCGAGCGAGCGAAGACAGTGCATGCCTTGGATCGCTCGGCTACCATGACCGGCATATGACATTTTACAAATTACAAAATACAAATATAATACATAAAGAGTGAAAGAAAAACAAAAATGTACATTTTCTTCTGTGCTCACATATTTTGTTACTAATCATTATTTATTATTTATTTATTAATGCCTACAACAGCTTGGAAAATACAGAACTGAGTGTCGGTGAAAGTGAATACTGAATTGGGAAGAATATGCAAGGGACAGGCTAAAGTCTGTTAGGTAATCTGTGTTTCATTTACCTTAAAAAAAGAAAAAGAGCAAAGGAAACCCACATAAGAAAACATCAGCCAGGAAGGCTAATCTCCAGACACAGTTTTATACACCGGAACACCCACTTATGTTTCTTGATTTAAGGTTATCCCTCAATTAATACTCAATCTCAATGATCTCAAATCAGTTATCTATCATCTACACTTAAAGACTTTCTTCAGTTTAGTTCTCAAATCCAGTGCTTCCCAAAAGAGATTGCAAGTGGAGGTTTCAGTGCAGTTTCTTTATTTACAGTGTATTAATATATTTTAAAATAACAGAAACTAATTTCCAGTGTTGCAAATTAAAAAAAAATACCAAATTAGACACATTTGAAAGTTAATACTGAAACAGGATTCCAGGAAATGGCAATATCCTGAGTTCTGACAAGCTATAACAAGACTGGAAAGACAAACATGATTATTACATAAAGTCTGTAAGAAAGTACACTTAAGACTATAAGGTGGGAGGAGGAAGAATTGAAAGCACATCTTCAATACTTCTCAAGTTCATGCAGAAAGTGGCTATAACAGGAAACATAAATAATTTTAACATCCTATGTGGCTTCTGCAAGGACATATGGATATTAGCAATCTGTCACTATAATTAATTTCCACATACTAAGCAGTTTTTGTACAGGAACAAAAAAAAAAAAAACCTTCTAAAATTTATGGAAAACTGTGGATTAAGTTAGAAATAACCATTAAGGATTCTCTACAGCTCTGTTGTGACACAGTAAGTTCAGAATACACAATACTGTGTATTTATTATTATTTTTTTATGTAATTCTATGTACTCATGCTAACCTTTTAATTGGCCTCTGTGCTGTTAAGTTTGCACATAAATAAACACGAATTGAACTGAATTATTATGTGGATGGCCATAGTGTTGCTAGGTAATGGACCGGTAAACACACACAAAACATGCTGGCAACAATAGAACAAAGTTACACAACCCGCTTCTAGGCAACGGCTCAGTAAACAGTCTTCTGCACAGGCACAATGACGTCACACTGCAACAGTACTATCACGTGACTTATTTTCTGTGTTGTCCATGCAGCGCCTATACAGCAAATATCTGTTTAAGGTTAAGTCAGACTATGGTCGCAAGTCCCAAGGGACTCGGACCCAAGAAAGACTGAGCTGGCAAGGGCCCATAGCATGTACAAACGACAGACCCGTCCTCGTCAGAGAGGGCGTCCCAGAAATTGAACACCATAACTATCAAACAGTAATAAATATCTGGTCATGAGCCCCAAGACGGTGCTCAACACCAAGACTTACTGACTGACTGACTGACTGACTGGCCATCAGTTGCAATGTAACTTTGACTTTGGTTAAGTCAGAGTGTGTGGAGAGTTCAGGTGTGCTCAAGACAACTGAGAGACTAGTGCAAAAGGCTTATAAGACCAGTGAATTCAGCATAGTAAAGTCAGTCGTAAGCTGGTGGAGTGAACTGAAACTAGGAGCACAGAAGAGTGCAAGAGGTCAGCCTGTGAAGATTTGACGTGTGAATTGAAAGCTTTATGAGGTTACAGTGTAGTGATATTGGGAGTGCGTGTGATCCAGTGAGAATGTTATAGTTTCTGTGTTGAGATCCATTGCCTGGAGATGACTAGTGAAGACAGGGAATCCTTGTGCATGTGTAGCAGTGAAATACAAAGTGTGTAAACCAGCGATAGCACTGTATTGCCTGTATCTGAGTGTGATTCTGAGAGATTGTAACCAAGGTGCTAATAAATCCAATCATCCGAACTAGAACCCGTTATTCTCGTCACATGTACCACTCTACAGTGACATTATTTATTTAAACTGCAAATGGGTTTTTACCCAGTGGCAGTGGTACTACAATAAGACACAATACACAAATAATACACATCACACAAAATAACACACCACAATCAAACAAACAGAGCATACAAAACCACATAAACAATAAAGGCTACACTACACACAATGAATACAATGCAAATACAATTACAACAACAATTAAATAATATAATAACCTAAATGTAAACTGTCATCTTACCAACAAAGCCAAGCTTCTTGGCAGCCTCAAGAGCAGTAGAGCCTTTCTCCTGGTTCAGTTTGGATACAACTGTGTCAGCAGGATGAGAGACAATAGCACAGAATACTCCAGCAATGTAGCCAGCAGCAAATGTTACCACAAGTTGCTCTCCCTTGCTGCATTCATTACGAGGCTTTGGTACAACATATCTGAAAACAATGATTAAAATCTAACCCTTTATACTTCTACATCACCAATATGACATCATGTTCAGTAAGTTTTATTGGCTCCTAGGCTGACAAATTGTAAGCAAGGTGATTTACTCCATCATTCTGCCATTTGTTCAAGAAACATTCAACTTCATGCTCGTGCTTTCTTTCCCACATCTATAGTCTTTGGATTACAAAGGAAAGAACCCCATTTCAGCAGTTTCCTCTTTTTCAACTTCCATTTATGCACCTTCCTGAATAAATAACGATCTTTCGTAACAGAAAAAAAAAAGCAGCCAACAGGTAAATTACACTAGAATATTGGAATGGAAATGGTTAAAGAACACAAAAACAGCAAAACAATTATGCTTAGTATTGCATCAAGTATAAGGTTAAGTATTACACATCCACATACCTACATACCACACAGTGCCATCGCATATTACAAATTTCCATTTGTTTTACAACCATCTTTTCTTGTCTGCTCATACATATACTTTTCCAACTATCACAGTGAATAAACTAAATCACTACAGACAAAACTCTACTTATGAGGTTTCAAGAAACGAACAATTCATATTTATAAATATTGCATGGACTAATAAATTGTGATTCCCAAATCATTTAATTAACCGTTCAGCGTGGTTTGACGTGTATGTTTCGTCAGGTATTTAAATCGTCTGCCGGGGTTCGACGTCTATGTTTCGTCCAGCTGCACACCTATGTTATAACACCCATAATAATTGATGGTTTTGCTGTAGATTGTTAGATTTTTCGCTGGCCTGTTGTCACAAGAACTATATATAATGAGACACGACTTTAACCGCGCTAAGTCATCGTTACATATGCCTGTCTTGCAGCAAAGTTCCTGTTGCTCTTGGGAGAGGTTTCCTCATTCAAACTGTTATGAATGGCGTGTTTTCTTTCCTATGAAGTTATAAACAGCAGAGACGTGATATGTGCTGTGTTTATAATATCATATTGCCCTGAGCTGGCCACACTAACACACTCAATTGGAATTCTTAGAAGAGGGATGTCCAAAAATTTATTCTTGCAAGATCGATTGATTTCGCACAGTACATAGCACCCAGTTCTTAGAAAAACGTCACGAATNGGTCGTTTCGAGGGATGACCATAAATATTTTTTTGAGCCAGCTAAGCTCTACTTTCGTTCACTACATACCAGCCAGTTCTTAGAATAACTTCATGAATTCTGTGGTCACCCCTACGACATCTCCTGCCGCCAAAATGGATGGAATATCAAAGGCATAGCAACAACCCCTTGTTATGATAACTCGTAACGTTGAATTTACTGCAGCTGACCTGGCAAGATAAACGGCTCACGGAAAGACATTTCCTTAAGTATACCCCTCACGGGTAAGAAGGCAAGGCCGCACATATGTGTGGTTAAAAAAAAGGGCCAAAAAAAATACACAATATTGGAGCGGAGAATGGTGAACGTGGGGCACCGTTGGGTTATACGAATGCTTCAAGGCCTTCCTTCTACTAAACCAACTGCCTCCATTACCGAGATACAGGGCGCTCATATTATAAGGTAAGGTTATAAAACCACCTCTTAAGATCATTTTAGTGAAAGTTTCATGTTCCTATCTCATATAATTTAAGAACAATGATGAATAAATCATTTTCGAGCAAAATTTAAATGGCCGGCTGAATATATTACCGCCGGAGAGACGGCAGCGGAATTTAAATAACCACGCGAAAGGGTTAATGAACCTGGAATCCCATGTTTACAAACATTTTAACAAATTAACATTAACAAACACAATGATATATATTATGAAAAAATAAATTTAACTTATGAATATTTAACTTACAAACACATTTAAAAGAACACAATACGATGGGGTACCCAAAAGAAACCGAACTAATTTTTTTGTGGGCAGAGCTTTTGTAGTACCGCGTTTTGCCGCTATGAGCGCATAGAGCTAACATTCCTGAGTCGATAAGCCGACTACCGTTGCTTCAGAAGGTAAGGACTAGTTTCGGCAGAGTTTATAGTGACAACTGTTTTGTGTGATCGTCGTTTTTGCAATGGCTGATTTTCGTGAACAGCGTGCGGCAGTGAAATTCTGCTTTTTGCTCGGGAAAAGTGGAACAGAAACTCTTGAAATGTTAAAAACGGCGTACAAGGACGATGCTATGGGGAAAACTCAAGTGTTTGAGTGGTTTTCCCGTTTCAAAAATGGTGAAATGTCAATTGATGACAAACCTCGTTCTGGTCGTCCTTCCACGGCCCGAACACATGAAAATGTTGAAAAAATTCGTGAAATCATCAAGGAAGATCGACGACGGACCATTGAAGAAATTGTGGAGCTGTCGGGAGTGACTTGGAGCTCAGCGGCCAGATTTGTGGCAGTCGGGTGACTGGTTTTTCCATCATGACAATGCCCCTGCTCACACAGCCCTGTCTGTACGACAATTCTTGACCAAAAATGGTATGACCCCTGTTCCTCACCCTCCATACTCACCCGACCTTGCCCCGTGCGACTTTTTTTTTTTTCCTCGAATGAAAAGAGACATGAAAGGAAAAAACGACGGAGGCGCTGTCAAGCATCTCAAAAGATGAATTTAGACAATGTTTTGAAAAATGGAATAAAAGACTAGACAAGTGTATTAGTGTAAGTGGAGAGTACTTTGAAGGGGATTGAAGGTTTGTGCTTAAAATTTGAATAAATAAGTTAAAAAAAAATCAAGTTCGGTTTCTTTTGGGTACCCCTTCGTATGTTCATAGGTTGGCGTTTGCCAGGATACCAAATTTTAAAATTTGGTTTCACTTATAAACTGATTCATTTGTACCAAAAATTGCAGTCATATCTAAGTTTTAAAATTATGTACTATTTTACTCTATTCCTCCTATGGTGAAAGTTTTACCACAGCAATGGTTAACACATCTGGCCAATATCTTTTACTGCCAATGTATCATTTATGCAAATACCATTCCCTATATCAATATCACATGTTTATTATAAACTTCTGTTTTGTAAATTACGATGTGTGCTATTTTCAAGGTCCACTATTCTGGCAAAATTATCCTTCATCAGACATAATACATTTGGGCATACGAATTTTAACAGTCAGTACAGTCCAAAGTGTAAAACAAATAGATACATATCAAACCAATGAAAATTTACAAAAGTGATGTATCGCGGTATCTTTTGAGCAATCAATGCCACTGGTTCACATAACTTTTTAAGTATACACACATAACTGGAGATCGAAACAAGAGTGGGGCAAGGGGGAGAAGATACACAGCCTCACACAAAAGCTGTGGGAAACAATGACTATTCTCTCTGAAACTAGTATACCAGTACCATATTTTGGGAAAGTTCCAGTGTGAAATGTAGTGAAGGACAGCCAACACTGCCACACGTACGTTCATACCAAAATTCGAACATATGAAGTGGTACACAAGCAACTACATCAATAATTCTACAAAAAGTTTCAAAATAAGGAATACAACATTACAAAAAAAAATTGTAGCCAACCTTTAGGACATTATTTTGAAATAGTATGTGGTACTCCTAACTTTATAATTAAATACTGCAGGAAAGATGGGAGGGGGAAGCTGATATATTTCAGTGATTCTACAGAAACATATCAATCACATAATATTGTGACATGTTGCGCAACGGAGGACCCCTAGCTCCCCAGCAGCACGTGGCGGTAACGTAACGCGCAGTGACGTAACAGGATGACGTGGCACTCATTACGCAACAGGCAAGCACTGCGGCTATATAAGGGAACTCCACAGTGGCTGCGAGGCAGTTGTAACGTAACAGTCGCCGAGTCGAGTTGTAAAGTAGCAGTTGCCGAGTTAAGTAGTATTCGAGCGAGTGTGTTATCAACAATTCTCCAGTCAGCCGACTACAGTTGGAGTATAGCAGCCGCCGCGGAAAGAAGAACCGGACGTGTGTGCGATTGTGTAATTGGGAGCGTGTGATACAGTGATACCTAGCTCCCCTACTGTCAACGTGTAGACTACTGAAGAGAGAGTGAACTGATTTGCGCATAGGGTTATAAAGTGTGAAACCCCGCAACAGTGTGAACAGATTATTGCGATTAGGGTTATAAAGTGTGAAAACCCATAACTGTGTAATAATTAATTGTAGCCGTTACTTGTAGGTTGTTGAATAAACCAATTAACAATCTCTACGGCATCTTCAGTAACGAAACACATTACAATATATTCTCTTACCAGTTTATTTAAGGTAGGCAACACGTTTCATGTTTATGCCATCCATATCACCATACAGCACTGTATTCAACAATTTCAGTTCTGGCTAGGAAATATGACTAACCCCAAATTCCTAAATATCAGTGTCCACAGTATTTGTTTCATACATTTGTGGACTGCAGTGCATTTGAAAGTCACATTATAAGAGATCAAAAACAAGTTTAAGGTATTGCTGTCTATGAAAAGAATGTTCAATTTATAATACTAAAATGATGAAGGGCAAGTAAACTCTTACAACTGTGGTACATAGATCACTTGTACATATGAAATGAATATACCTGTAGAGTAGTTCTATTGTCTTCTCAAAACATGCGAATTTCATCATGGTGTAGGGAATCTGCCTCATCCAGAGGGGTACCAGCCCCTTGTAAAAACCATTCAAACCTTCATCTTTGTAAATTATTGGCATGGCAGCCCGTAGTGTACTAGCAAATCCAGGCTGTGTCTGAATTCGCACCTGAACAACAAAGGTTAACACAAGCTCTTACATCAAACTGATAAAATAATACACACTAAAGATGAGAAAGGAGCTGGGAAGATCAGCTGGTATAGTCACGGGTTATGGGCTAGACAGCCAGGCTTTAATTACTGGCAGGGACAAGAGATTTCCTTCTTTTCCACAGTGTTCAGACCAGCTCTGGGGCCCACACTGCATATCCAATGGGGCTCTTTACCCAGCAGTAAAATGGCCAAGACACGAAGTTGACCACTCATCTCCATCTAGTGAAGAGGTCCAGATAGATGGAGCTATACTTCCATTCCCCCATACATCTTCATGGCATGGCGCTTAATTAAGCACAGGTACAACTTTTCTTTTCTCTTTTAACGCTAGTGGGGTAGGACTAAGTCCCTTGTACTGTGGCCACTTCTGGCCTACTGTACCAGCCCCAGATGATAGGTGAGGGTGATTGTGGAGCAATTGGTGGAATGAAGATGGGCAGGGGAAACCGAAGTACTTGGAGAAAACCTGCTCCAGCGCCACTTTGTCCACCATAAATCCCACTTGACCAGCCCCGGGATCGAACACGGGCTGTCTCCAATGCTCCACTACCTGGGCCGTTTCCAAGGCATATCTTCTCTCAGATGACAAACATCTGAGAAGAAATTTCTGTTGACTGCAAAAATCCATCATGCACAATTCCATAATTTATTTCAATTTTCATCAGTTTTGCTCAAAACTGAATGCCCTGGATCATTAACATAAAAATCAATCAAATGTTAAATTCTGCCATTTCCTCTCCAAGAGCAAGTTTCTGGATCTTGTAAGTTTTGCCTAGTTCAAGGCAGAATTTAACCCACACACACACTGCTCGTTGAGCTCTACCATTTAATGATAAAAGCACATTACAAAGGACACAACACATTACCTAACTTCTGAGTGACACACACTACAACTCTGAAAGCTTATATAAATTTATACAGAGGACATACACAACATTCTGAACTGACATAATNCACACTACAACTCTGAAAAGAACGGCAAATGACTGACTAGACTCTACTATATAATTACTCAAAATTATTAAAAATGTAATGCAATATACAGGGTGTTTCAAAAAGAGCTTCACAAATTTGAAAGCTTATATAAATTTATACAGAGGACATACACAACATTTTGAACTGACATAATGTAGCAAAACACACAGAGTTTCATGCATGTGGTACTGTAGTACCCAATACCGCCACCGTGAGCGCTCCCGCAGTTGAAATCAAGATGGCTACTTACACAGGTGCAGAGCATGCTCGTTGTCTGTTTCTGTTCAAAGAAACGAAGTCTGCTACACAAGTTCAAAGGAAATTTTGCACTCAGTATCACAAGGAACCTCCCAGTAGGCCTACAATTTACTCCTGGCACAAGAATTTTATTCAGACGCGATGTTCTGTGCACCATAACAAGCCACCCAGCCGGACACATGTTTCTGACACTACAGTGGAACAGATAGGGAGAGCTTCATTCGAAGTCCACAGAAGTCAACGCGACGTGCATCTCAGGAAACTGGTATTCCAAATGTTACTGTGTGGCGAGCGTTACGGAAACGTTTACACTTAAAAGCGTACAGACTATCCATCGTTCAACACCTTACGGATGCAGATAAGGTGGTTCGTAAGGAATTCTGTATGCAAATGTTTCATCGAATACAAGACGATGAGAAGTTTCTGGACTCTGTAATTTTCAGTGACAAGAGCACGTTTCATGTCAGTGGTAAGGGCAATACCCACCACTGCAGGATCTGGGGCAGCGAAAATCCATGTGTCTCCCTGGAACATGTTCATGATAGCCCAAAGGTGAACATGTTTTGCGGCCTCAGCAAAGAAAGAGTGTACGGCCTCTTCTTCTTCATGGAGACGACCATTACCGGTATCGTATTTCTGGACATGCTCCAAGAGTTCCTCACTCCACAGTTAGATGAAGATGACCAAGGACGCATTCACTTCCAGCAAGACAGCGCACCCCCTCATTATCTTGAAGAAGCGCGCACAACTGCCTCAACACCCGTTTCCCAGGTCAGCGGATTGGTAGAGTGACGCCAACAGCATGGCCGCCTCGTTCCCCAGATCTTACTCCCCTGGATTTTTTCTTTAAAGATCAAGTGTTCGTACCACCTTTGCCTGCAAATGGCATTGAGCTCCGAACTCGAATTACTACCTCAGTTGCAGAAGTGACGCCAGAGATGCTACGTAGCATGTGGCAAGAGACTGACTACAGATGGGATGTCTACCAATGGAAGTCACATTGAACCATAAATCTCCGAGGTAAAACTCAGTGTTTTGCTACATTATGACAGTTCAAAACGTTGTGTATGTCCTCTGTATAAATTTATATAAGCTTTCAAAGTTGTAGAGCTCTTTTTGAAACACCCTGTATATATTTTATATCAAAAGAACTGGCATCTGAATTACACCTGTGCATACCAAAAAAAAGACTGTGACAAAACATCCAATGCTAAGCAACAGCTATGTAGAGATGTGATGTCTGCACTGTTTGAGAAGCCAATCAACTGATGCCATAAGCCAGCACCATCCGAGAACTTGCTTGAAACTTCAAATTTGGTTCAGTGCAGCAGAGCAGAGAAGTGGGTAATTCATTATTCAGTTTCAGTCCCATGCACAGAAGTCAAGATAAGGGCAAGCACAGTATTGTGACCAGCAGTACTGCTGAGAAGTAATAAGTGGACAGAGAACATACGAGGGTCGATCAATAAGTACCCGTGTTTGAAGACAGGTGGCGTTGCTGAGGGAAGTTGGCATTACCGTCGTGTACTGCCATCTGTCAAACGACACCATACTAAATTTCAGACTGATTCAAAGGTTAGTTTTTATTTGGCAGCCAGTTGCATCAGATGTGTTTCGTCTTTCTCGATACAATGGAAAAAGTACAATATCAATCCGTAATTCGCTTTTTATTTTTGGATGGAAAAACATGCGAAGAAATAAAAGCGAAGTTGGGTGCCGTCTATGGGGACCCTTCACCATCTATATGACAACCGTGAGATATTGGTTCAACAAATTTAAACGTGGTCGTACATCTGTTTTTGATGAGGAGCGGTCAGGCCGCCCGGCACGCGTCGTTACCGAGGAAATCGTTGAAAAGGTCCACGACATGATTCTCACTGATCGCCGAACTAAAGTGCGCGAAGTAGCAGAGGCCATAGGTGTGTTGTACGGAACGGTACTCAATATTTTACATGATAACTTAAGTATGAGAAAGGTGTCAGCCCGATGGGTGCCGCGATTGCTCACGGTGGACAAGCGGATACGGCTGTTAATGTCGAAGCAGTGTTTGGACCTCTTTAAGCGAAATTCGCAGGAGTTTTTGCGTAAAGTCATCACCGTTGATGAAACCTGAATACATTATTATACACCAGAGACCAAGCGACAGTCAAAGCAATGGATTCTTCCGGGTGAATCTGCTCCGAAGAAGGCAAAGATGGTCCCATCGGCCGGAAAGGTCATGGCCACGATTTTTTGGGATTCGAAGGGAATAATCCTCATGGACTTTTTGCAGAAAGGAAGAACGATCACGGGGCAGTACTACAGTGAATTATTGGACCGATTCGATAAGAAATTGAAGGAGACACGGCCCCATTTGGCTAAGAAAAAAGTGCTGTTTCACCACGATAACGCACCAGCACATTCATCTGGAATTGTCGTAGCCAAATTGCATGAACTGCACTACGAACTGCTGCCGCACCCGCTCCCTGCGACTTTTTTCTGTTCCCCAACATGAAAACATGGCTCAGGGGAAAAAAATTCAGCTCAAACGAGGAGGTTATCGCCGAGACAGAAGCGTATTTTGAAGAGTTTGACAAATCGTATTTTTTGGAGGGGTTAAAGAAATGGCAGAAACGTTGGGAAAAGTGTATCGACCTGAAAGGAGATTACGTTGAAAAATAAAAAAAAAATATTGTGAAAAACTTGTGTCTTCATTCCTAACACGGGTACTTACTGATCGACCCTCGTATCTCAAGAGCACAAGTGATTATGGACGGTGAGACAGTAATTAAAATGTAGTTCTCTCAATATCCCATATCTTTTACAATAAACATACCTTTGCTGCCTCCATGGGGCTGAGGGCAATATCTGCAAAGAATTCTGCAGATGCAGAAGCTGCCAGATAAAGTGATGTCCGCCATACATATGAATTCTCCTCACCCAACAGATCAGAATATAAAACTTTGAAGACCTCATACAGGCCAAACTTGAAAAGACCCTGAAATGCATACAAAATTTGTAAACAGAATATCTGCAAACAAGAATAACTGACACTCTCTGATCTGAAAAATAAAATCTTTGTAACAGCTACCTCAAAGAGCTTCTTTAACAATTTATTTTTACTGATCATAACTCTCATTAACATCCTCACTAACATCACCATGTTGAATGGCTAACTTTCAAAGTGCTCTTCAGAATTTAATTGGATTTCAGGCATGACAAACTAAAAGTGTTTGTAACTGATGGGCTTTGATTCAAAGCTGCCAAAAGTTTACAGAACTTGTACCATTTGTAGATGTATGCATAATATGTTACCATACAAATGTCAAATTACGATGATTTGTACCCCCACCCATTTCTGAGACCGTCATGCTCCTACTTTACCTTTCATAAATCATGTTAACAAAAAATGCATACTTTTCCAATGTTTATCATAATACCTAATTTCAAGTTCACATGACTGCCTTCTTATTACTGATCACTGTGTTACAATTACAATGAATGGGAGCTTTAAAAAAAATGATACTGTGTTTGGTGGAAATCTGTCAGTGTCTGTTATCTCCATAATTTAATCATGGAAGACAAGACGATGAAGCTTGCTGATTGTGTTCCAAAGGATCATGTGTAAAGTAAAGTAAAGCTATCCCTGTAAGAGGCCGTGAAGGCCCATAGGATCGTGAGACATTGAGGGTCCCACATTATCTAGACAATCGGCTCAAAGATGGCGGTGAGGTTGTCAGCCTTATGCGCTGGCCACGCTTTACTCCCCAGGAAAATTATTTAATTAATTCCTGGTACTCATTTCTGTTAAGAGGCTGAGTCGACCCCAGGGCCATAATGCGGCTGGAAGGATTAGGTCAACTGAAAAATCCAATGACCTCATCGGGACTTGAACCGCGACCTTCTGGCTTAGCATATAAGTGTACTTTCAGTTAATATCAGAAAACAAAGAAGCACATTACTTTATCAAGCTCTGCTACACATTCACAAACCTGCATAGAGTATCCATAAAAGGTTGGTGCCCATCCTTTAGCAAGGCCACGTGTTCCATCTTCCTTAATGGTCACCTGCAAAAGCAATAAAAGAACTGAATTGCTGTTCCCAATTAACGGTGCAAACCCTGTGTACCCAGCCATTCATTCTTAACTTCAATTATTGTGGTATCTTGCTTTTCAATACATTTGACGGCATGGGAAAAAGTTTTTAATTGGCTGGCAAGGAAATGTAAGAGGGCTGAATGAAGTGGATTTTCAAAGAAATTCTGAAGGCTGCCTAGACACTTCTCAAGGGAAAGGAAATAGGATTTTAATGCAGGGGAAAATATCAATAATTCTCTGTACTGCAGGTAAGAGGGAGAGCCATCTTGATTTGCTATGACCCTCAACAATTTTATACTGTTTCCATGAATTCACAAAATGATTTCAATTCCTCAACTTGTACATAATAAATATGGAAATGCTGGTAAATATTGTTATCTATTAACTGACAATCAAAGAGTAAGCAGTCCGCAGCAATCTGCACTGCACTGTGCACCACACGTGCAGAGAAACCAATAACAATGAAGCCTGATTTTTTCTTGTACTACAGATTATTTTTCCTTTTCATCCTATTACAACCCAAGTTCCCATTGGTATTAACTAATTAACTATAACTTGTTGGCCTGTAGTCCACAAGCGAACTATATTGACTAAGCAACTGCCGCTTGTCGGCAAAGTTAGCACCAACATTTACGGTTCTATTGGTATTATCTGCTGATAATGCAATAACTTTTCAAGATCTGAGTTCTGTAACACTTCTAACAGATAAGAAAACAGCAGATCTGAAGTTTCACCAGCTAAATTAACTAACTCTAGCACCTTGACCATCACACCTTTTTCTATGTGAAAATATCTAATAATCTGATGGACTAACATTTGCCCACATGGTTAGATGGGTCAATCAATACAGAAATGAAACAAGCTTCTTTCGGCTCTTGAAGAATCCGTTTTGTTGCATATGGCACAATAACACTGGTGATTATTGCTCTGCAACTTGTTTGTGAACATATAAATTTATCGTTGAAAAGTTTCCTCATGATTCCTCATGACAGTGGTTGTGTACACTGATATATATGAGGTTTTTGGACTTTATCCATCGTCCTGGTTTTTAATCGTGTTTTTATTAGTTATCTTAAAAACCAGGACGATGGAAAAAGTCCAAAAACCCAATATATCAGTGTGTTATACTCCATCGTCAGAATCCTATAGTAACTAAGTGGTTGTGTAGTCCGCATATATGAAGCTGTGGTTATGCACTGCAGTATAAGCAAAGGTTGCTTCCTGTACTGCTAGCGATAACTGCTTTTCCATTTCACTAATATTCTTCCTGCTTAGGTAGTTACTTATGCTGTTATTGGAAGCTTTGTTCTCAACAGCCAATTTAGGGTTTTCTTTTGGGGGGGGGGGCTTTCACGTGATTGACAATGTCTGACCAACAACCATGAGCAATGCAAAATTTTGCATTACATAACGTGCATTCAACATGCACACTGACACCTTTAATAAAAGGATATTCGCTCTTAATAATGTCACTAATACTGCAATTGTATTTTGCCATCACTATATGGATGAAAACCGGAATATTCTCATAGACTCTCACAACGCAATGTAACAGTCGACTAAGAATGCAGGGATGCAGAGAACAATACAAATGGAACTTCCATTATGTAAGAAAATCAAAATATTACCAACATAAATGGAAAAAAGGGCATACTGACAACAGAAAAACTATCAATTTCTGAAACTGTTTTTTGTGGATTAGCCACCAGAAGTGTTAACATCATTATAGAAATGCCAATTGCAAAGAACAGCATCCATTATTGAGCAGTTATCGATAGAAATTAATGTTACAGAAGAGCATTTAAAAAGTTGTACACTTGAAATAATCCAGGATAGTGGGGCATTATATGAAAAAAGGGACTTTCCCAGGGAAAACAGGATGAATGGGAACCCTATATTAACATAAAAAGTTTATCAAAAAGTACTTAGTTTTAATTTCCTTTTATCCCTAAAGCCTACTTCATACAGCCAACTGTGGAGTTTAAAGAAAAATTGAGAAACAAGCCATACAGCCTGTTCACAAGAAATAGAGATACAAGAACTTGGATTGATTCTATGATTATTTAATGACAGTTTCAACTTGTCAGCTCAGGGCCACACTGACAAAACTACATACTTTAGCATTTTGAGTAATTAACACTATCAGAACTGCCAAACTGGGCTTTATATTGGAATAAATAGGGTATCTCTATCCCTTACCACAATGAAGCTAGATGTTGTTATATTTACATTTGCAAACTAAAAATATGGGTCAGTGCAACATAGAAGCTGAAGCATTTTCCATTCTGAGAATATACAAAAAAAAAAAAACTCCGTGGCTTTAATACCAACCCAGCACATCCTGAGAACATACATAAAATAATTTTTGCAGAGATACACAGAACTCTCACATTTCTATGGCCCCTATCACCTTGAATTTGTATCTTGCTGCCAATTCATAGCACCATGTTCCCACTCTTCCTGTGTAATAATGGAACCTCATGCCTACTGCAGCTAATGGAAACACAAGCACGTAACAATACTTCCAAATGCGTCCACCCCTTCCTCTAAATCTGATTTACTTTTGCCGATTTATTACAACACGGGCATCATCACCAGTACGACTGCCACTGCCACCGCCACTATTATTACTGCTGTCATCATGTCACTGCCTTCATCTCAATTATTCATGTAACTTTATTTTTCAAATATTAAATAACTTTTTTTGTTCTAATATAAAATTGTTTGTGACAGGCAGTAAAGAACTTAGGAAAACATTCAAGAACTTGTATGATTAACAAAACATGACACCCTTTCTAGGTACATTAGAATGTCACAATATTACTGTTCCAGGTGATCCTCAAGTCAGAGACAAAACATATCTAAGGAGAACATTCCCAAATACTTAACTGGTAAACAGATAAATAATGGGGCCAGTGAATATTATAAAATACGTTAACACAATACAACTAGAACTGTCCATTTGATCATCTCAGATTTTAACACAGTCATATCTCAAAGGAAAGCCATGCACGTATGACAGTCTGGTTCTACGATGATGAAACGTGCTAAAAAAATGGCGAATGAGAGAAGGGAAAATTTGGAATGTGGCCATGGGCTATTTGAAGGCACTACAATGGCATTCATATGGAGATACTAATGATAACAGACAAAAAATAATGGATGTGTCAATCAGTGTCTCCAGCAAACATACACAGAGTCAGTGCATCTAGGCACAGACTGCAATACCTGTTCAATGGGAAAGTTTCTGTAACACACCTATGACTCACAACTTCTGATATAAGCAACCAAAGTTGCTGAGCCCAAGGACCCCAGAAGTGGATCTTATGATGTGTAACACTGTACTTTGAAACACAAAATCATATTAATAGTCACAATGTTAATGAGGAGCAAAGTACAATAAACCCTGTATCTTTTATCAGCTAATATATTCAGATATGGGCATTTACACTCAAGTGATGTAAGTCCCTTTGGTAAAGGAAGAGTTTCACAGTCACGGTCACAACTTACCTTGAATCCATTTACAATAGACCTGTATTTTGCTGGGTTAACCTGAATTCGGCACTTAACCAAATCTAATGGAACAATGGCTGTATGAGTAATTCCACAGGACAGTATTCCTCCCAAACCACAGAGTGCAAAGTACTTTCTGGAGCCAAATTCACAGCTGTCTGAAAACATACCAGGTACAAAACACACATAAATGTCCCATATTTTCCCAACATTACCAACTATGCCTAAGTAAATAATAATAAATACAAATAAATGAACATATATTTCTCAGTTCTATTAAGTTTACTGCAAGAGTGTCAATTTATTAGAAACAATGTCCTTCCAAGGTACATTAATATTTTTACGGACCTAATGAACACCATATGCCTTTTTAAATTTACTAATTTAAGTAATATAACTGCTAATTAATGACTATCACAATTAAGCATTTTATTCCTACACTTTCCACAATACTGAACACAACTGATTCCTCACTGATTGTCAGAATCCAGAATAGTTAGCAGTGTCTGGGTACCTATCCTATGGATTGGGGTTTGATTTCTGATAGAAACATTAACTGAAGGAAAAAGGCCGCGCCATAGATCAAGAGGTTAGTCGCTGGCTTCCCACCGTGGCCACTCAGGTTTGATCCTGGGGTCTGGTCAAGTACGATTTGTGGTGGACAAAGTGGCGCTGGGGCAGATTTTCTCTGAGTACTTAGGTTTCCCCTGCCAATCTTCATTCCACCAAATTCTCCATCATCATATAATCACCTGGGGCAGGCTACAACAGGCCAATCAGTGGCCGCCGTGCCGAGTGGACCCAGTCGGACTCCACCCCCACTAAGAGAATTAAAAAAAAAAATTATTAAACTGAAGGCCAATACAGAGTGGATAATATTCAGTCCAGTGTGACATACAAGTTCACAACACTTCAGTCCTCATTCACCTTACATGTTTCGATTCAAAAGAATCATCCTCAGAGGCACACCACTACGATCAGGAAACACTGTCACATAAGATATTAACAATATGCAGTTAAGCTAAGAATAATGCTCACTATATAAATTTTGTTATTATCAAGGTTGTCTTAGGCACTCACAATGGCACTTCTTGAAGTGTAGATTTATGTATGATGATGTTTCTTTTAAATATTTCCTGGTTATTCTGACTGGGGTTTTCCACTGCACGCGATATGTTCACTTTTCCATACAGTAGCCTCCCAAGGCATTTAAAATTGTATTAAAACATCATGTAAAAAATTAGTTATGTTAAAATATTGTGAGCCGACATTAGGTCATGTTGTTTTCCTCCTGATGGTGGGAGATGTTGTTTATTTCTCTTGATTTTATGTTCTTATTATTAGTAGTGTAGTTTACGTGCGTGCTGTGTCGTTATTCATAGCTTAATTGCATACTGTTAATATCTTATGTGACAGTGTTTCCTGATGGTAGTGGTGCACTTCTGAGGATGATTCTTTTGAATCAAAACATGTAAGGTGAATGAGGACTGAAGTGTTGTAAATTTGTATGCCACACTGGACTGAACATTATCCACTCTGTAATTAATAGTGTGACGGACCAGAATGACACAAATCAAATGAAGGCCAATACTTTCTAATTTCCTACATGTTTAGAAAGGAAACCCATTTCATTGTCAGGCTCTGCCGCACAGCTATTTGCAAGAAAAGACAAGGCTGCTTGCAAGTAAATGCAGCTGCAAACAAACATTTACAACATTTCAATAATTTCTCAAATTACCCTCAAACAACCTAAGGTACTGGGAATAACAGAACATCATGCTGTGTTACCTATATAGAAACATTCTCAATGCTGTATCACTTCAAATAGAAGGTGCACATTTCACACTTTTTGGCCCTCGAAAAATTGAGGTGCATCTTAAATTCAAGGAATGTGCACGTTTCTAATTTTGTTTCTAAACATCTTATATACAGAAATTTCTCTGACCACAAGTAAGGATCATGTGAGAGCTTCTTTCTTCCTTCCTCTAGGCATCAGTAAGTCACACCTAATGCCATCTACAGACAAACTGCACTAATAGATTAACAAGCTGATTTGTTCAGCAGTTCCAATTTTAATGCAAGTAGCCACATGGCAACGTGTTCAATTTCTGATGTCAATGGATTTTTCAATTGACCTAATCCTTCCAGCTGCACTAGGGCCCTGGGGTCAACTCAGTCTCTAACAGAAAGGAGTAACAGGATGTTTCTTGGGGGGGGGGGACAGCTGGCACGCAAGGTTGACAACCTTACCGCCATCTAAGAGCCAGCTGTCTAGAAAATGTGGGAGCCTCAACATCTCACAACCCTACTGGTCTCCAAAGCCTTTTACATGGTTAGTTTTACCCTCTTGCCTTTTACCCCTAGCTAATCTAATCTAATGCTCCTGGTGTTCAAAGGGTTAATAAAGCATTTTCAAGCCACAATAAACACAATTTTTGAGAACAGTAAACAATCTTTTGATAATAAATACGTGGTGTGTTCAAAAAGTATCGAACCTTTGGTCGGCAGAAATACATTTATTGATTTGGAGGCACAAAACCCTAATCCCCTTCAAAGTAGTCTCCTTGGTAATGCACACACTTCTCCCAGTGCTTCTGCCATTGTTGGAAACACTTCTGGAACATGTCTTTTGGAATGGTGATCAGCCAGGTCATCGCATTCCACATGATGTCTTCTCTTGACTCAAGTCGGGTTCCTTTCAGTGGCATTTTCAGCTTGGGAAATAGCAAGTCGGGTTCCTTCCAGTGGCATTTTCAGCTTGGGAAATAGCCAAAAGTCACACGGAGCCATGTCGGGGGAGTAGGGAGCCTCACGAACCACAGGGATGTTGTGTTTGGCAACGAAAGTCTGAATCAGATGCGCAGAGTGGGCGGGTGCATTATCATGATGGAGCTGCCAAGTTCTTGCTGGCCACAGATCCTGTCGTTTGTGGCGCACAGCATCACGAAGGTGACGAAGGACCTCCTGGTAGTATTCCTTTGTGATGGTTTGGCCTTGTGGTGCATACTCATGATGCACAACCCCACGGGAGTCGAAGAAAACGGCCAACATGACCTTGACATTGCTGCGGACCTGCCATGCTTTTTTTGGCCTCGGAGATGTCAGATGTTTCCACTGCGACGACTGCATCTTGGTTTCCGGATCGTACCCATAAACCCACGACTCATCGCCTGTGATCATGGTGTTCAGAAAGTTGGGGTGACTGTTTGCATTGCCCAGCATGTCCTGTGCGATTTCCAGACGGCATTGCTTCTGCTCCATTGTTGTTAGTTTCGGTACGAATTTCGCGGACACTCTTCATGCCCAAATCCTCAGTCAAAATTGACTGTACCGATCTAATGCTTACCCCTATCTTGTTCGCAAGTTCTCGGACTGTGATATAACGGTCCTCCATGACCAAAGTCCGCACTTGCTCAATGACATTCTCATTTCGGCTTGTTGAGGGTCTGCCTGAACGCGGTTCGCTGTCCACTGATGTGCGGCCATCTTTGAAGTGGTTGTACCACTCCTTTATCCGTGAGTTACACATGGCATCATCCCTGAAAGCCTGTTGAATCTTGCGAATGGTTTCCACTTGGGCATCGCCAAGCTTTTGGCAAAATTTGATGCAATATCCCTGCTCATGTTGTTCCATAATTTTACACCTTACTGGAATCCAATGAGCGCTCACTACACGTCCTCACTCAGAGGCCGACTGCCAGCGACTGACGCTTTCTGCGGGCAGGAAAAAATTCACGACTGCACATGAATGTCCCCTCCACATCTCCACCGAAGGGAGCCTCCCACACTTCATTGGTTTATGCAGGGAAAAAAGGTTTGATACTTTTTGAACACACCACATATAACATAACCTGTAAGCAGAAAGGCCAATTCACATTTGAAGTTTCTTAAAAACACGTTTCAAAAATCAAATAAATACAGCAAACCCTTGGATTACAATGGTTTATACACACCAATTTGAAAATTTTCTAGTAACTGCCTTTGTTTTCTCCAAAAATTCTGGAAAATTCTACACTGCCCTCCTGTTACCAAGAAAGACCCTTGCATAGCAGCAGCAAGGACAAAAAAAAAATCCCATTTTACAGTCTACAGAAATCCACGAACCGCGAGAAATTCTGGGTGGGTTATATAGGTACCTGCAGAGGTTAGGCAACATTCATCCTGACTCAGAAAGTAGCTGTTCTACAGTGCATACAATCAAGTGTGCGCCGCGGCTGCAATTTGCCGTGAGTCATACCACCGCAGAACGGATGCAACTCCTCCCCGCGACTGCAGTGCCGTTCCCCGATAGCGTGAGTGTAGTGGTGTCGCTGAGTCTCCGTCCATCAGTTGCTCTACATGCACACATTTATAAGAATACAGTAAAAAGATAACTTACCGTGGTTTATAACAGGTGCTGAAAGTGACCTCCTTCTGCTTGCAAACATGCCGCGCATCTCACAAATAAATTACGCGACACTCTCTGCAGTTCGTCGACGGTAATTGAATGAATTACGCGTGTAATTTCATTTTGAAGACTATCAATGCTGCGGGGATTATTTTTGTAGACTTTTTGCTTCAGGTTGCCCCAAAGATAATAATCAGAAATACTGAGATCTGGGGATCTGGGAGGCCACAGTCCTCTACTGACAATTCTGTCTTCAAACACTTCCTGTATTGCGACCATGGATGCATTAGCCGTATGTGCTGTAGCGTTGTCCTGCTGAAAATACCCGTATTGTCTTTCTTCGGCATTCAACTGATCGAAGAAGGGATTCAGTATGTCATTAATGTACCGATCAGAGTTCACGGTATCGTGGAAAAATATGGGGCCAATGATTCGCCGCGGGCTTACAGCACACCACACACCCACCTTTTCACTATGTAATGGCACTTGCTGTATAGCGTGAGGATTTTCATTGCTCCATATTCTTACGTTTTGTGCATTGACGTGGCCACCAACGTGGAACCACGCTTCATCAGTCATGAATAGAAGCTGAGGATCCACTATTCCATCGTGTACATTTTGCAGCAGCCAGTTGCAAAAACGAATTCTTGCTGCATGATCTGGTTCTTTCAGCTCATGCACAACTGTTACTTTATACGGGCGAAATTTGATTAACTTTGTGGCTGTGCGAGCAGATCCTAGCGAAACACCAGTTTCCTGTGCTAAGCGTCT